TCTGTTTTGGTACCAGTACCATGCTGTTTTGATTACTGTAGCCTTGTAGTATAGTTTGAAGTCTGGTAGTGTGATGCCCCCTGCTTTGTTCTTTTTGCTTAGAATTGACTTGGCTATGCAGGCTCTCTTTTGCTTCCATAGGAAGTTTAAGGTGGTTTTTTCCAGTTCTGCGAAGAAGGTCATTGGTAGCTTGATGGGGATAGCATTGAATCTGTAAATTACTTTGGGCAGTATGGCCATTTTCACAGTATTGATTCTTCCTAACCATGAACATGGAATGTTTCTCCATCTGTTTGTGTCCTCTCTTATTTCGTTGAGCAGTGGCTTGTAGTTCTCCTTGAAGACGTCCTTTACATTCCTTGTTAGTTGTATTCCTAGGTATTTTATTCTCTTTGTGGCAATTGTGAATGGAAGTTTGTTCTTGATTTGGCTCTCTTTAAGTCTGTTATTGGTGTATAGGAATGCATGTGATTTTTGCACATTGATTTTGTATCCTGAGACTTTGCTGAACTTCCTTATCAGTTTCAGGAGGTTTGGGGCTCAGACGATGGGGTCTTCTAGATATACAATCATGTCGTCTGCAAATAGAGACAATTTGACTTCCTCCTTTCCTATTTGAATGCCCTTTATTTCTTTTTCTTGTCTGATTGCTCTGGCTAGAACTTCTAATATGATATTGAATAGCAGTTGTGAGAGCGGGTATCCTTGTCTGGTGCCACATTTCAAGGGGAATGCTTCCAGTTTTTGCCCATTCAGTATGATATTGGCTGTTGGTTTGTCATAAATAGCTTTTATTATTTTGAGATAGGTTCCATCGATACCTAGCTTATTGAGTGTTTTTAGCATAAAGGGCTGCTGAATTTTGTCAAAGGCCTTCTCTGCATCAATTGAGATAATCATGTGGTTTTTGTCTTTGGTTCTCTTTATGTGGTGAATTACGTTTATAGACTTGCGTATGTTGAACCAGCCTTGCATCCCCAGGATGAAGCCTACTTGATCATGGTGGATAAGCTTTTTGATGTGCTGTTGCAATCGGCTTGTCAGTATTTTATTGAAGATTTTTGCACCTATGTTCATCATGGATATTGGCCTGAAGTTTTCTTTTCTTGTTGAGTCTCTGCCGGGTTTTGGAATCAGTATGATGTTGGTGTCGTAAAATGATTTGGGAAGAATTCCCTCTTTTTGTATTGTTTGGAATAGTTTCAGAAGAAATGGTACCAGCTCCTCTTTGTATGTCTGGTAGAATTCAGCTGTGAACCCATCTCGACCTGGGCTTTTTTTGGATGGTAAGCTCTTAATTGCTGCCTCAACTTCAGACCTTGTTATGGGTCTGTTCAGGGTTTCGGCTTCTTCCTGGTTTAGGCTTGGCAGGAGGCAAGTGTCCAGGAATTTATCCATTTCTTCCAGGTTTATTAGTTTGTGTGCATAGAGTTGTTTGTAATAATCTCAGATGATGGTTTGAATTTCTGTGGAATCTGTGGTGATATCCCCTTTATCGTTTTTTATTGCATCAATTTGGTTATTCTCTCTTTTCTTTTTTATTAATCTGGCTAGTGGTCTGTCTATTTTGTTGATCTTTGCGAAAAACCAGCTCCTGGATTTATTGATTTTTTGAAGGGTTTTTTGTGTCTCTATCTCCTTCAGTTCTGCTCTGATCTTAGCTATTTCTTGTCTTCTGCTAGACTTTGAGTTTTTTTGATCTTGCTCCTCTAGCTCTTTCAATTTTGATGATAGGGTGTCAATTTTTGATCTCTCCTTGCTTCTCATGTGGGCACTTATTGCTATATATTTTCCTCTAGAGACTGCTTTAAATGTGTCCCAGAGATTCTGGTATGTTGTGTCTTCATTCTCGTTGGTTTCGAAGAACATCTTTATTTCTGCCTTCATTTCATTGTTTATCCAGTCAACATTCAGGAGCAAGTTGTTCAGTTTCCATGAAGCTGTGCGGTTCTGAGTTAGTTTTTGAATTCTGAGTTCTAACTTGATTGCGCTGTGGTCTGAGAGACTGTTTGTTATGATTTCCGTTCTTTTGCATTTGCTGAGGAGTGATTTACTCCCAATTATGTGGTCAATTTTAGAGTAGGTGTGATGTGGTGCTGAGAAGAATGTATATTCTGTGGATTTGGGGTGGAGAGTTCTGTAAATGTCTATTAGGATTGCTTGGTCCAGGTCTGAGTTCAAGTCCTGGATATCCTTGTTAATTTTCTGTCTGGTTGATCTGTCTAATGTTGACAATGGGGTGTTAAAGTCTCCCACTATTATTGTGTGGGAGTCTAAGTCTCTTTGTAAGTCATTAAGAACTTGCCTTATGTATCTGGGTGCTCCTGTATTGGGTGCGTATATATTTAGGATCGTTAGCTCTTCTTGTTGCATTGATCCTTTTACCATTATGTAATGTCCCTCTTTGTCTCTTATGATCTTTGTTGCTTTAAAGTCTAATTTATCAGAGATGAGAATTGCAACTCCTGCTTTTTTTTGCTCTCCATTTGCTTGGTAAATCTTCCTCCATCCCTTTATTTTGAGCCTTTGTGTATCCTTGCATGTGAGATGGGTTTCCTGGATACAGCACACTGATGGGTTTTGTCTTTTTATCCAATTTGCCAGTCTGTGTCTTTTGATTGGGGCATTTAGTCCATTTACATTTAGGGTTAACATTGTTATGTGTGAATTTGATACTGCCATTTTGGTGCTAGCTGGCTGTTTTGCCCTTTAGTTGAGCTGGTACTTGTTGTTCCTTTATATGTGTAGAGCCTCTTTCAGGAGCTCTTGTAGAGCTGGCCTGGTGGTGACGAAATCTCTGAGTACTTGCATGTTCCCAAAGGATTTTATTTTTCCTTCACTTATGAAGCTTAGTTTGGCTGGATAGGAGATTCTGGGTTGAAAATTCTTTTCTTTAAGGATGTTGAATATTGGCCCCCACTCTCTTCTGGCTTGTAGGGTTTCTGCTGAGAGATCTGCTGTGAGTCTGATGGGCTTCCCTTTATGGGTAACCCGACCTTTCTCTCTGGCTGCCCTTAGTATTTTCTCCTTCATTTCAACCCTGGTGAATCTGACGATTATGTGCCTTGGGGTTGCTCTTCTTGACGAATATCTTTGTGGTGTTCTCTGTATTTCCTGGACTTGAGTGTTTGCCTGCCTTGCTAGGTTGGGGAAGTTTTCCTGGATAATATCCTGAAGAGTATTTTCCAGCTTGGATTCATTCTCTTCGTCGCATTCGGGTACGCCTATCAGACGTAGATTAGGTCTTTTCACATAGTCCCACATTTCTTGTAGACTTTGTTCATTCCTTTTTACCCTTTTTTCTTCAGTCTTGCCTTCCCGTTTTATTTCATTGAGTTGATCTTCGACCTCTGATATCCTTTCTTCTTCCTTTTTACCCTTTTTTCTTCAGTCTTGCCTTCCCATTTTATTTCATTGAGTTGATCTTCGACCTCTGATATCCTTTCTTTTGCTTGGTCCATTTGGCTGTTGATACTTGTGCATGCTTCACGAAGTTCTCGTGTTGTGTTTTTCAGTTCCATCAATTCACTTATATTCCTTTCTATTTTGTCCATTCTTGTTAGCATTTTGTCCAATCTTTTTTCAATGTTCTTAGTTTCTTTGTATTGGGTTAGAACATGTTCTTTAAGTTCACAGAAGTTTCTTACTACCCACCTTCTGAAGTCTGATTCTGTCATTTCATCACACTCGTTCTCCATCCAACCTTGTTCCCTTGCTGGTGAGGAGTTGTGATCCCTTTTAGGAGGAGAGGTGTTCTGGTTTCGGGCGTTTTCATCCTTTTTGCACTGGTTTCTTCCCATCTTTAAGGATTTATCCACCTGTCGACTTTGTAGTTGCTGGCTTTCAGATTGGGTCTCAAATCTTTCAGATTGACGTTCTGTTTGTTGATGATGAGGTTATTTCTGTTTCTTGGTTTTCCTTCTGACAGTGTGGCCCCTCTGCTGTAGGTCTGCTGAGGTTCACTCCAGGCCCTGCTTGCCTGGGGTTCACCTGCAGCAGCTGCTGAACAGCAAGGGTTGTTACCAGTTTTCTTCTTCTGCTATCTTTGTCCCAGAAGGATACCCGCCTAGTGTCAATCTGATCTCTCTTTTATGAGGTGTCTTTTTGGATATATAGGGGTCAGGGAGCTGCTTCAGGAGACGGTCTCTTCTTTATAGGAGCTCAAATGGTGAGCTGCAAGCTCTGTTGTTGTTCATTCAGAGCTGCTGGGCAGCTACTTTTAGGTCTGCTGTAGCAGAACTCATAAACTGCTTTTTGTTCCCAGGTGCTCTGTCCCAGGGATTTAGGGCTTTATTTATGAGTTTCCGTTATGCTGCCGCCTTCTTTTTTTTTTTTTTTTTTCCCTTCAGACCTGCCCAGCCCAGCAAGGAGGCAGCCTAGTCACTGTCGGCCTATAGCAGCTTTGCTGAGCTGCTGTGGGCTCCACCCAGCTGCCGAGTGAACTTCCCTGCAGTTCTGTTTATATGGGTGTAGTTAGAACTGCTTTGGTGATGGTGGCCCGCCTCTGTTGGGGTGGAGTCTCTGCTGTGGCAGGTTGCCTTGGCAACAGCGGGCTGCCTCAGCAATGGCGGGTTGCCTTGGCAACGGCGGGCTGCCTCGGTAATGGCGGACGCCCCTCCCCCACAGAGCTGGACCGTCCCGGGTTCAGCTGCGCTTGCTGTGAAATTCTCAATCCAGAGTTTCTGGTTGCTGTTCTTTTGTGGGGGTGGGGCCAGCCGAGCCTGATCGCCTGGCTCCCTGTCTCAGAGCCTTTTTTAAGTTGGTGTTCCAGTCCACTGTTGAAGAGGCGCCGGGGTCTGTTTGTTTTCCCCTGCGGCCACTCACTGCGCTGGCTTAAACAGCGCACTGAGGTTTGTGGCGCTTTTTTTTTTTTTTTTTGCCCTGGAATCTACTGTCCCGGTTCTCTGCTCAGTCCCCTTTTTGAACCGGCGTATGGGCGACTTCCCGTGGCTCCAGTCGCCAGCCAAAAGGGCCCCCGGACCAGTGTATTTTGTATGGAGAACCGCGGCTCCGGGGCGCCGACAAAGCAGCTGCGCTGGGCAAAGCAACGGCGCTGGCCGGCACAGCCGCGCTGGTGACCGTGGAGCACCTCCGACCGGGAATTTCCTAGTCTGTGGGCAATAAAAACGCAGCGTCCACTCACCCTCTGCGCTTTCACTGGGAGCTGCAATCCTGAGCTGTTCCTAAACGGCCATCTTGGATCGTCCCTCAAATTTGTTCTTTTTATTCTTGTCTGTGCTGGGTGCCTAGCTATTACACAATTAAGGGGTCTTTTTTTTTTTTTAAACCAGAATCTATGAACTATGAACAAGTGTTCTTTTTCTGTTGTTTGGGAACATATTAAAATTTTCAACTTTAATTTATACTAATAATAAAGTAGGAAAGGTGGTTTTTATCTTTTCACATAATGTGACCATATTTGGATCACTGGATATCACACACTGATTCTTTTTTAAAAAAACAAAACAAACAAAAAACAGCATTTCACACTGTTCCCAGGCTGGAGTGCAGTGGTGCAGTCACAGCTCACTGCAGCCTCGACCTCCTGGGCTCAAGCAATTCTTCCACCTTGGCCTCCTGAGTAGCTGGGACTACAGGTATGCACCACCGTGCCTGGCTAATTTTTTATTTTTTGCAGAGATGGGATTTCTCTATGTTGCCCAGGCTAGTCTTGAACTCTTAGGCTTAAATTGTCCTCCTGCCTCAACCTCTCAAAGTGCTGGGATTACATGGACAAGCCACTGTGCCTGACCCACTCTCTGATTCTGTTACCTTGGTACACAAGATGACAAGTGAATTGAAATACAGAATCCTGTGGACCATTATAGTAATACTTTAGGGAAATAGCAAAGTCACACAATATTCTATATATCTAAAATGTTTACTTGTTGGTTGCCTGTTTTGACAACTGGGACTTTTAGGTATGGTGATTTTTCACCCTCACAAGATTAAAAAATTGGTTCAGTTGAATTGATTCACTGGTCCACTGGTGGCAGGTCACAGGGTTCTCCATGGAGGTGTACTGCATAAATACATCTGTGTTAGAGTTCTGTATTAACCCTGCCATGTATAGTAGTTTGTCAGTTATTTGGAAGAAAATACAGTATAGAAGACATCCTTGTCAAGTGTCCTAAAGCTAGAGAGAAAGTTAATACACTGGATGGTGGAATGAAGACTTGCTTATTTAGGAAAGTTCATTTACTTTGCAGAGGTAATTATTAGAAATCTAGAGCATTCATTAATGGGGACATGCTAGAGGCATTTCCATTCAAGAGAGGAGAAAGGATTTCTGCTATCACTGGAGGCCCTAATTCAATAATAACATGCAACTAAAATAAAGAGACATAACTGCTTATAGGAAGCAGCAAAATCTTTTAAATGTTTTTTCCTACTGATTTCTTCAGCAAAAATCCCCAGTACATTTTGAATAGAAGTGGTAAAAGTGAATATTCCTGTTTTCAGTTTTCTGGGGAAGACATTCTGCTTTCACCATTAAGTGCAATATTTACTGTAGGCTTTTATACATACCCTTTATCAGGTTGTGGAAGTTCCCTTCAATTTTTCATTTGTTTAGAGTTTAATCATAAATAGGTGATGTATTAAGTGAATTATTTTTTCTGTGTCAATGGAGATTACTACATCTTGAATTCCTTTTACTTTATTAACACATTACATTGTTTTTAGCGCTGTATTGAAGTACAACTGATATACAGAAAAAAATCCATACGTTTAATATATTCAGTTTGACATTGAACATTTACATACACTCATGATATCCTCATGGCAATCAAAGCAATAAACATATCCATATTAACTGTTTTTATTAATTAATTAATTTTAAATTTTATTTTAGATTTGGGGTACATGTGCAGGATTGCTACATGGATATATTGTGTAAATCATAAGGTTTGGGCTTCCAGTGAACCCATCACCCAAATAGTGAACATTGTATTCAGTAGGTAAATTCTCAACTGTTGGTCCTTTCCTACCCTCCCCACATTTGGAGTCACCAGAGTCTATTATTTTCATCCTTGTGTCCATGTATATCCATTGTTTAGTTCCCACTTACAAGTGAGAACATGCAAGATTTGATTTTCTGTTTCTGAGTTTTTTTCACTTCGGATAATGGCCTCCAGCTCCATCCATGTTGCTGCAAAGCACATAGTTTCATTCTTTTTTATGGCTGCATAATATTCCACATTTTCTTCATCCAGTTAATCATTGATGGGCACTTCAATTGATTCCATGACTTTGCTGTTGTAAATAGTGCTGTAATAAACATATGAGTGCAGGTGTCTTTTTTGATTAAATGATTTCTTTTCCTTTGGGTATATAACCAGTAGTGGTATTGCTGGGTCAAATGGTAGTTCCATTTTTAGTTCTTTGAGAAATCTCCATACGGTTGAACTAATTTACATTCCCACCAACAGTACGTAAGTGTTCCCTTTTTTCTGCATCCTCATCAACATCTATTATTTTTTTTACTTTTTGATAACAGCTATTCTGACTTGTGTGAGATGGTATCTCATTATTGTCAAAATCACTATTATATAGGTATACACTTGTTGTGGTGGTTTGCTGCATCCATTGCCCTGTCATCTACCTTAGGTACTTCTCTTAATTTTTTAAAACAAACTTTGAGAATGTGTTACATGTCAGACATTATGCCATGTACTGGTTGGTAAAGCAAAAACAATTGAGACAAAGTTCCTGCCCATGAAACTTTATGAGATTCAAATATCTCAGCAATTGAGAATGATGGGCCTTTCCAGACAAGTGAAGTGTTAGTAGGGATAAATGTATAGATTAATCTTATTAACATAATTAACATTAATAATTACCATGATTAATATTATTGTAAAAAAGAAACAGCTATTATTTATTCAGTTATTGCAATGTGTCAGATATTTTGCTAAGGGAATAATTAGCATAGTTCTTACATTAATCCCATGAAATAGTACTATCATTACCTACATTTTTTATGTGAGGACTCAGAGAAGTAATTTGCCTAAGCTCACATATCTAATAAATGATGAACCTAGCAAGTATGATTCCAGAGCCTGAACTGCCAATTACCATTCTATACCATCTTCAGAGACAAAAGATAAAACTTAGGGCAGCCACCTAAAGGAGGAGATCCATCATAAGAGCATACCATGTACAAAAAAGATTTGTGACTTTGAAATAACTGTGGATTCACATGAAATGGTTCTTAATGCTGGACTTTTATAGATTAGCGGTAAAGAGAATAGAAGAAGATCATTGTCTCATTTTCCTCTGTAATGGTCAGACCTCATCTAGGATACAATGTTCCATTCTGATGCGGAATTTTTAATGGCACATTGACATATTGATAGGAAACAATCATGACAGTTAATACATGATGTAGGAAACAGATCTGAGCTAGATATGTTCAGTGGAGAAAACAGAAGACAAGTGAGATTCCTCTCACTAGATGTATTTCAACAGCAGAGCGCTGACCCCCGATAGAGGTTTCTGTAGAATTCCTCGCATTGATGAGCTTTGTGTTAAATCATCCCTAGAGTCCCTTCTAACTGAAATGACAGCCAGAATGTCAGTTTCCTGAAAATAAGGACTTTATCTCCTTCGTTCATGGCTTTGTTAACAGTGTCTAGAACAGTATTTCATTAAATGACTATGCAATTGATTTCTTATGTTAATGGTTCTCAAAGTATAGCTCAGGGACCCTCTGGGGGGCGATCCACGAGACCCTTTCAGGAGCTTCATGAAATCAAAATTAGTTTCATTATAATACTAAAATGTTGTTTGTCTTTTTCATTCTCATTCTCTTATTAAGAGTATGCAGTGGATTTTTCTTTTTTAAAAAATTTATTTATTATACTTGAAGTTCTGGGGTACATGTGTAGATCGTGTAGGTTTGTTACATAGGTATACACTTGTCGTGGTGGTTTGCTGCATCCATTGCCCTGTCATCTACTTTAAATATTTCTCTTAATGCTGCCTCTCCCCAATCCCCCTACCCCCTGCTATTTCTCCTCTAGCCTCCGACCCTCCAGGCCCTGGTGTGTGATGTTCCCTTCCCTGTGTCTGTGTGTTCTCATTGTTCAACACCCAAGAGTATGTAGTGGATTTTTCTAGCAACTATATGACATGGTATATTCTAACAGATTGAATGCAGAGGCATGTAAGAATCCAGCTCTGTTCTCCTAAGGCAAACATTAGATTTGTAAAAATGTAAAACAATACCATTGTTTTTACTAATTTAACAAAAATTTTAAAAATGAAGATGCTATTTATGTTAATAGGTAATGGGTTTATTAATGTTTATTTGTGAATTAACAAATATGTGTTTAAATAATTCTAGTTTAATTTCCAATGCAGTAAATATTAATAGATGCTTTCCATATAAATAAAAGTGCTTGAGAATATAAAGGGGTCATGAGATCAATTTTTTTTGTATAAAGGGGTCTTGAGATCAGATTGTTGGAGAAGTTTTGCTATGTACTAAACTTCAGTTTCATTCCAGTTCAGTGGAAAATGTGAATTTGGGATTTGTATTAGATAATGATTTAAACAAGAAATTTTAGTTGTGTTAATAATTCAATGAAAATTGATATATGAAATCACTGGAATAAATTATAGTGGTTTGCTAATGTTTTAGGTTCCTGATTATAGTACATTATTTTTATAGGTAATTGAAAGAAATAGAGTCATATTGGCTAAAAGACTTTACCTTAATGAAAAAGGCTGGAATAAATACACCAAGCATTTCATCATACAGCTGTCAAACAAGGTAAAGGTCAATTATTCTCAGTTATGAGAAAAAAAGATGTCAAAAGATGTCAAGTGGTGAGCATTGACACTGTAAGATGTCTTTGTTAAATTTATTGATTTTAAAAATACAGTTTTATATTAATGCTTATTGTGTGCAGAATGAAAAAATCTAAGGGGAGGTGAATAAAGGCTTTCGTTTCTTTATATTTGTCTTCTAAGTAAAGCAATTTATCTAAGTTTAATACCACTACAAAGATATTCATACGATTATGACTTGACTGATTCACACATAAAGTAAAAAAGTAAATATCTTTTTTTTGAAATAGTTGCATTATCAATTTTATAGAAATATTCAGTGAGCACACTCATTAGAAAAGGAGAGCATTTATCATGTTTCTACTGAGTCAAACCATTTATACTAGTTATTTCAATTAACTCAAGACAATTTTGTGAGATAGATATTAGGGTCTCTATGGGTAATAAAAATTAAATCCAAATAGATTAGATAACATTGCCCAAAGTAACACAGACAGCAATGGCTACAATTCATATTTGGTACTGTTTGGCTTCTTGGCTTCTAATCTATCTAGCACACCACACTGCCCCTGTGGAAGTCCTATGGAAAAATTGGGTTCATGTTGCAAAGAAAAAAAAATCTTGTCTCTTAATACTTTATGTACCATGGAAAATTCATCACCAAATGAACTGTATCATACTGTAACTTCAATGTTTAAATCAATTTTCTGTGAATTTCTCTAGCATTACAATATTAATAATGGCCTGGTGTATGTTAATGGCTATTTGTTATGTAAATAAATGAATATGTTATTTGATTCTGTGCATTTTATGTAGGACACTGAAGACCTGGCACTGTTGCAGAAGTTGACACAGAAATGGATAAACTTAGTGAATAAATTTAAACAAGAGGTAGAACAAATGGAAGAGTCTACAATGGGGACTTTGAAAATGGTTAAGGACGGGCTGATCAAATGGCAGGAGTTCTTCAAGTGAGTCACAAGAATCTTGTTATACTTATATCATGTCTGATAACTCAGTCCAATTCTCTCTGTTCCTCCTGTCGTTTACCTTGTAATTACTCTTAACATTGATTTTGGAGAGCAGTCCCTGCAAAGGCACAATCCTGCTAACAATCTTGAATAGTCTTGTGGTTTCTAGTGCTGAGTATCTCTGTAGTTCATCCTGATCCCCCTGCTTAACTGCTGCTGTTCCTATTTGAGTCCAGCTCTTTTTCTTGTCTCTCTTTTTAAAATAAAGTCACTTTATGTCATTACTTTGGTAAACTTGAGTATTTGGATCCATCTGCAAATCATATACAGAGAAGTAAAACCAATGTGGTAGTTATAGAGAGATGGTTTTGATTGGATGTCATACTTTGCAATGATTAGAGAAATCTGACAATGAAAGAGGCTGCTAATAAAGCAGTTAAGTTGAGGCCAGATGGCTAAATCATAGCCAAGGTTAGTGAGAACCTATACTTTGGATGCAGTCTGGACTAGATAATTTCTTTTTCTTTTTCTTTTTTTTGAGGCAGGGTCTCATTCTGTTGCCCAAGCTGGAGTGCAGTGGCACAATCTTGGCTCACTGCTGCCTCCGCCTCTTGGGTTCAAGCAATTCTCCTGCCTCAGCCTCCTGAATAGCTGGGATTACAGGTATGCGCCACCACACCCGACCAATTTTTGTATTTTTAGTAGAGTTTCACCATGTTGATCAGGCTGGTCTTGAACTCCTGGCCTCAAGTGATCCACCCACCTAGTCCTCCCAAAGTGCTGGGATTACAGGTGTGAGACACCACGCCTGGCCTGGACTAGATGATTTCTAAGGTTTTTTTTTTTTTTTTTTTTTTTTTAAACTTTAAGATGCTTTGTCTACTGAGGCCTGGACTAGATGATTTCTAAGATTTTTTTTTTTTTAAACTTTAAGATACTTTGTCTGTTAAGTACCATTTGCATTTCAAATTGAGAATAGTGGTTTCGGTTTTTTATAACCCTCTAAAAGGTTTCCCCATTAGTAGATTTGGAAGTTCTGGAAGCTGAAGCTGGTACATCTCCCAGCTGGCTGTTCCTGCCCTGTGCCCATTTCTATTGTTTGTTGATTCTTAAGTGGGAGGGGAGCACAGGAGGCCATAGTTCTTGTCTCTTTCACTTCAGGAACTTATTTATCAATAGCTTTCACCTTCTGAGACTTTAGAGCCATTAAAGGAAATTTTTTCCTACCAGAAGCTGGGATTCCTAGCTTAAATGTTGAGTCTTAATTACTACATAGGCTTTCTTTCTATTTATATATTACGTTGACAGCTGCATTTCAACAGAAATTCTTCTGTTGATGATCTGGTTTTTAATTCCCAAGACTCAAGAGACCACTCTTAAAAAAAAAAATCTTGTGGCCCATGGCCCTGTAACTTGTTTGCTCAGGTTTGATTAAAATCTGAATTTACGTTTACAAATTTAATGATAAATACCTGTGGGGAGAGGGGTTGGACCTGGAAGGCGTGCTTGAAAATTATTGAGGAGAAATATATTAGTTGTTTAGTCTTTAGTGTGTGAACTTATGATTTTATTTGTTTATACCTTGTTCTGAGACCTTTTTCTTTTTTCTTCTTTCAGTGAAAAAGACATTTTATCCCCTGATAAGGGAAATATGTTTGATTCAGTTCTTCTAGACTTCAAGCAATGGCATAAGGTAAGACTTTTTACAAACCTGGCATTCCTGACCTACAACTGAGTCATACATATCTCATCCTTTTTATTTTTTTTATTTTTTGAGACATTGTCTCACTCGCTCTGTCACCCAGGCTGGAGTACAATGGTGTGGTCTCGGCTCACTGCAACCTCCACCTCCTGAGTTCAAGCGATTCTCCTGCCTCAGCCTCCCAAGTAGCTGGGATTACAGGCATGTGCCACTACACCCAGTTAATTTTTGTATTTTTAGTAGAGACAGGATTTTACCATGTTGCCCAGGCTGGTCTGAAGTGATCTGCCCACCTTGGCCTCCCAAATCGTTGGGATTACAGGCGTGAGCCACCATGCTTGGTCACATCTCATTGTTTAAAAATGCCATATTAAGTTTTATGAATGACAAAGAAAAGAGAAGTGCTAAGGACTTTAAAAAATATGCTTAAGGGAGGTGGCTCACGCTTGTAATCCCAGCACTTTGGGAGGCTGAGGTGGGTGGATCATGAGGTCAAAAAATATGCTTAAATGTTTTCAGTTTTATTTCAGATTTTTGGGTCAAATTAAGTTAGGCTGCTAGAAAAGAAATCAGGAACTTGTTAGTGGTCTATTCAGAGATTCAGCTTTTTCCTGGTTTAGTCTTGGGAGGGTGATGTGTTGAGGAATTTATCCATTTCTTCTGGATTTTCTAGTGTATTTGCATAGAGGTGTTTATAATATTCTCTGATGGTAGTTTGTATTTCTGTGGGATCGGTGGTGATGTCCCCTTTATCATTTCTTATTGTGTCTATTTGATTCTTCTGTCTTTCTTCTTTACTATTCTAGCTAGTGGTCTATTTTGTTAATTTTTTCAAAAAAACAGCTCCTGGATTCATTGATTCACTGCAGCCTGGTGCCTGGTGACGGAATGAGACTCTTTCTCACACACACACACAAATATATATATATATATATATATATATAAGATATATGTCTCATATTATCTCTTTGGAGCATAAAAGTAATAGGATATGCAACTCCAAAATAATTGGGAGTCACTGGGGAATTACCATCTGGTAGACTTTGATAAAATCATTAGTGGATAACATGCTACTCCCCTTCTTCCTTTCACTCTTTAGATCCTGAATGAGAAAAGAGAAGAGTTTACTGGGGATATTCTACTATCAAAGTACGATACTCTCAAGATTATTAAACATTTACAGGAAAACTGGGCAGATATTGGGCTTGGGCTATTTAATCGCCACAAAAGTTTGGAGGGGGAGATGCCATCAGAGCAACAGTATATGGAGGAAATTATCAAAAACACACGAAGTCTCTACAAAGAATATGAAATAAGAATAAATGGGGACAATGGTAAGAAAATACTCATGGTAACTAGATTTCTTAGTATAAAATATTTTAATAATTTTCAATATAATATTTAAAATAAAAATAATACATGCATATAGTTTTAAAAACCAAGCAAAATAAGCAAAGCATTGAGCATCACTTAATTGAGATATAATTTATAGACATTACAATTCACCTAAAGTGTATAATTCAGTGATTTTTAGTATATTCACAGATGTGTGCATTCATTACCACAGTCAATTTTATATTATTTTCATCAAAATAAACCTCAAAAGAAACCCCATACCTTTAGCTTTCACCCTGTTACCCCCAGCATCCTCACCTCAGTCCTAAGTTTGTTTTCTGTCTCTGTAGATCTCCCTGTTCTGGACTTTCATATTAATGAATTCATGTACTGTGTGATCTTTTGTGACTGGCTTCTTTCACTTGGTATAGTGTTTTCAATATTCGTCCATGTTTTAGCATTTATCAGTACTTCATCTACTTTTATGGCCTAATAATATTGGATTGTATGTATATATCACATTTTGTTTATCATTTCATCTGCTGGTAGGCATTTGGATTGTTTTCACTTTTTGACCATTATGAATGATGCTGATATGGACATTTATTATACATTTCCTTGTGGAAATATGTTTTCATTTTTCTTGGATATGTACACAGGAGTGAAATTCTTGGTCATTTGATAACTATATCTTTAACTTTTTGAAGACTGCCACACCCTTTTCAGAGAGGCTGTATCATTTTATATTCCTACTAGCAGTATATGAAGGTTCCACTTTCTCTGCATACTTGCTAGTACTTGTCTCACTTTTAAATTCTGGCCACACTAGTGGGTGTAAAGTAAAATCTCCTCATGGTTTTGATTTGTGTTTTCCTGATGGCTAATGATGTCAAGCATTTTTTTAAAGATTTATTAGCCATTTGTGTATCTTCTTTGGAGAAACGTCTGTTGAGGTCCTTTGCCTGTGTTTTTTTTTCTAAGACAAAAATTGAGATTTATGGTGTTGATTGATAATATGTATAGGAAGAAAAGCAATTTTCTAAGGTTTCATACTATCAAAGAACAGATAACCGTTGTTCAACATTAATGAATATTGTGTGTTATTGTGCGCTATTATTGCTTGTGTTAGAATTCTAGACTAATGTCCACCAGCTGACAGTATAACTCTTTGAAAATGTCAAAGAGAATGAGACCTATCTGAGATAATAGTTTGTGAAATAACGTTCTACGTAAGTGGTTCACAAACTTCAGTGTGGTTAGGGATTTGGTGAAGAATGCCAATTCCTGAGTCCTGCCTCCAGTCATGTTGGTACACTGTGTCTAGAGAGATGCCCATAAACTGGAAATTTTCGCAAGCATCCCAGGTGATTCTGATGCCAGTGGTGTACATATCACACTTAAAAAAAAGTCCTTTATTGGGAGTCAGTTAGTAGCTAGGTCTAACATAAACGTAAAACACGCTTTACATACTCTGATGATTCTTTGCCTATATTTTATTTAGGCTGTCTTTTTATTATTGAGTTATAAGACTGGTTAATGTATTCTGAATACAAGTCGCTTTTCAGATATGTGAATTGTAAACAGCTTATCTTTTCCGTGGATTGCCTTTTCATTTTCTTGATAGTATCCTTTTTTTTTTTTTTTTTTTTTTTTACCAGAGACTAAATAAGTCATGTTTAATGCTTCTAGCCTGGTAAAATTAAACATCATAATTTCTCCATATTTACGTTTTAAAAATTGATTAGAAATGTGTTACATGGAGTACATGTGAGTATTTGTTACATTTATAGAATGTGTAATGATCAAGGTCAGGGTATTTGGGTTATCTATTACCTCGAGTGTTTATCCTTTCTGTATGTTGGGAACATTTCAAGTCCTCTCTTCTAGCTATTTTGAAATATCCTCCATCTGCAATGTTGCTAACTATAGTCACCCTTCTCTCCTATCGAATTTGTTCTATCTAAATGTATGCTTTTACCCACCAATCAACCTCTCTTTATGCCCTTTCCCACCCACACACCCTTCCCAGCATCTGCTATCATTCTATTCTCTATCTAAACAAGATCAACTTTTTTATGTCCCACATGAGTGAGAACATGCACTATCTTTCTGTGCCTGCCTTATTTCACTTAACACAATAAACTCCAATTCCATCATGTTCATATTCAGCTTTAATTTTAAGTAACCGTTAAGCAAATTTCCATAATCTGATTTTTGTGTGTTTAAAAATAGACCTGTATCTTCAAATACTAATTTTGAATGGACATATTCATTAGGAATAGGTGTAGATTCTACAGTGGCATAGAAAATTCTGAAGAAAGATATAGACTGACTATGTATAAAATACGTGGTTTTGTTTTGTTTTGTTTTGAGATGGAGTCTCGCTCTTGTTGCCCAGGCTGGAGTGCAATGCACGATCTCGGCTCACTGCAACCTCTGCTGTCTGGGTTCAAGCAATTCTCCTGCTTCAGCCTCCCAAGTTGCTGGGATTACAGGTGCCTGCCATTATGCCTGGCTAATTTTTGTATTTTTAGTAGAGATGGGGGTTCACCATGTTGCCCAGGCTGGTCTCGAACTCCTCACCTCTGGTGATCTGTCCACCTTGGCCTTCCAAAGTGTTGGGATTACAGGTGTGAGCCACCATACCTGGCCAAAATATGTTTTAAAAAATGAAGCTGAAGAAAGTTTCAACTTACTAGTGGAGGCATCATGCCCTTGTTTGAAGTGGGGATGACAGCTCGAAGATCTGGTTTTCTACTGTTCATTCGGGGATTACCATCACCTGGTGGAGGGGGAGACTTTGTAAGCATCACTTTGCCTTAAGTATTTGCACCAGGAGCTCTCATCAAGTTTGGAGCTTTTGAGTTTACAAATCCATTCCCCACTGGGCTGCTTCCGGCTCCATTTGGCACTGTGAGGTCTGTTGTGCTCAACATCCCACCTGCATTGCCAGTACTTGGTGGTATTTGAGGAGCTCCAGGGGACACGTTTCTATGTAATGTGGTTTGAGGTAGAGAGAGCTTACTTGAATCTGTTAATGTTGAGCTGGCTGCCAAAGATGGGGACACCAGCGAACTCCCTGGGTTAGTGTAGGACAAAGCATTGGGGCTGGTCACTGGAACTGTGCACGTGTGTACCTATGCAACATTCCTACAATATCTGTACATGTACCCCAGAACTTAAGGTAAAATTACAGTACTTATCTGTATCAGCCCTCTGTATCTTCAGGTTCTGCATCCTCAGATTCAATCAACCATGGATCGAAAATACTTAGAAAAAAATTAAAAATACAAATAAAAACATGATATAGTCTAATAAATATTACATAGCATTTGCATTAGGTAATATAAGTAATCTAGAGATGATTTAAAGTATACAAGAGGATGTGCATAGGTTATATGCAAATACCACATCATTTTATATAAGGGACTTGAGGATCCATAGATTTTGATATTTATGGGGGTCCTGAAACCAATCCTCTGTAGATACTGACGGATAACTGTATATAGTGGGCAGAGAAAAATAAGGTAGCAAATGGTTTAAATAAAATAAGTCAAAATTATGGATGTGATAAAATTAGCAGATCATTTTGAACACTCCTAAATGATCAAAATTTACTGATGACAGCAGTGAAAATATTTTTATTAAGGACAAGAAAAACAGCTTTCTTTTAAATTACTTATCTTATATAACTTTGAGATGGCAGAGTTTTCATTTCATAATTTGCAAATGGATAAGACAAAGAGGTCATTTTTCCATGGTCTCAGAGTGAATCAGTCCACTGGATCCACATTAGGATCCACATGCAAGTTTTGTTCAGACCAAAAACTATAAACTTCATGAAAACCTGATCAATAACCTAAAAAATGTCTCAAGAACTATGATAATCTATTTTCATTTGTTATTCACTATCCCATAATCATGAAGTTGATTATTATCATTGTCCTCTTAAAAGAATGACTTAGTGGATTAAGGTCTTTTACGGAAAACTGTAGTTCATAGTTTCTGGGTTTAATGCATTTGATTCTGAGCTGAAAAGATAAACAATTTAGGATATAAACTGTGGTTGAGAAAATAGTTTAGTAGTCATAAAAGCACCAATTACACAGTGCTTATTCATTAAACATTTATTTATGAACTGCTTTTCGTAATGTTCTCTGCTAGTCAAGCTGTAGGATAACAAAAGCTTTTTAAAAGATATACCCTTGCTCAGTGGGATTTTATAATTTGGTATTAAAGTGGCAGTGTTACAAATACTTCTAAAAGTTAAAACTTTTCTTACTTTTCTAGGTATCTCCAAAATTCTTCCAAATTTGATTAGTTCTCTTGACTTCTGTTCTTTCAAATTGGAAAACCTGGAGTTTCCAGATACACCTCTTGAAGAATGGCAGGAAATAAAAGAAAAAATTAATGAAATGAAATCACAGTTGGATATATTGTTAAGCACTACTGGTATAGACAAGGATTCTGGTTTGTAAGTTCCCGTAGCTTTCTTTTGTTTTGAGAGAATTTTCCTAAAGCTTTATTGCAATATAATTTGTATACCATATAATTCACTTTTTCGAAGTATACAATTCTGTGGTGTTCAATATATTTATAGGTACAGGTAACCATCACCAGTCAATTTTAGAACATTTCATCACCTCAAAAAGAAGCCTTATGCATTTTAGCTATCATTCTGCAATCCTCCATCCTCTCCCACCATCCTATCCACATCCCTGAGTAACCACAAATCTACTTTGTCTTTGGTGATTGTACTGTTCTGGACATTTTATTTGAAAGGAATCATTATACTGTGTGGTCTTTATGGATAACTTCTTTCACTTAGCATAATGTTTTCAAGGTTCATCCATGTTGTGGCATATTTTCAGTATTTCATTTTTATGACTGAATCATATTCTATGTATTAATATGCCACATTTTATTTATTCATTTGTCCATTGATGGACATCTGGACTGTTTCCATCTTTTGCCATTAATGAGTAATATTGCAATAAACATTCATGTGCATGCTTTTTATGGACAGACATTTGTTTTTGTTTCTCTTGGATATATATTACCTAAAGAGTAGAATTGCTGGATCATATGGCAATTCTATTTTTAATAATTTGAGGAACTGCCAGACTGTCTTCCAAGGTGTTTTTGGAAAATGTACACAATTTTACATTCACATCAACAGTGCATGAAGGTTCTGATTTCTCCACATACTTGCCAATACTTATTTTCTGACTTTTGATTCTAGCTATAATAGTGGGAGTGAAGGGATATTTTATTGTGGTTTTGATTCACATTTCCCTAGTGACGAATGATGTGAAGAATTGTTTCACGTGCTTATTGGCTATTTATATATTTTCTTTGAGGGAAATTTTTTCTTTGCTATTGTTGTTGCTTGTGCTGGTGTCATAGCTAAAAATCCTTTGCCAAGTCCAAGGTCATGAAGATTTAGCCCTATATTTTCTTCTAAAAGTTTTGTAGCATTTGCTCTCTTACATTAAGGTTTCTGATCCATTTTAGTTAATTTTTGTATATGGTATGAGGTAAGGGTCCAATTTCATTCTTTTGCATGGGATATCTAGTTGTACCAGCACCATTTGTTGAAGACTGTTCTTTCTCCATTTAATGGTATTGACACCTTTGATGAAAATCAGTCATAAATTTATTTCTGAATGATTAGTTCTATCACATTGATCTATATGTCCACCCTTGTGCCAGTAACATACTGTCTTGCTTATTCTTGCTTTGTAGAATGTTTTGAAAATGGGAAATGTGAGTCTTTCTACTTGACTCTTTTACAGAATTATTTTGGCTTTTTTGGGTAACTTGAAAGTCCATATAAATTTTAGAATAAGCTTGTCAGTTTTTATGAAGACTTTAACTGGGATTCTAAAAAAGAATTTGTTGAATCTATACATCAGAATGGGAATATTGCTATCTTAAACATGCTAAGTCTCCTATGTGAACATGGGATGTTTTTCCAATTGTTTGGATCTTCTTTCATTTCTTTGACTCTTTTGAGTAGAAGTTATACACTCCTTTTGTTATATTTACTCCTAAGTACTTGTTTAATGTTATTGTAAATAGGATTTTTAAAACTTTTTTTCAGATTGTTTATTGCATGTTTATAGGAATACAATTGATTTTAAAATATTGATCTTATATCCCAAAACCTTGGTGAATTCATTTATTAGTTGCAATAATTTTTAAAGGATTTCTTAGTATTTTCTATACAAAAGATTATACTTATAAATAGAAGTAGTTTCTTTTAAATCTAGATGCCTTTGATTTCCTTCTCTTGACTAATTGCTTTGGCTAGAACCTCAATATCATGTTGAATGGAAGATGTTATTCTTATTCTTAGGAAAAATGCATCCAGTCTTTCACTATTGGGTTTTTCCTGATGTCTTTTATTGGATTTAGGAAGTTTTCTTCTATTTCTAGTTTGTTGCATGCATTTACATAAGAAGTTGTTGGATTTTGACAAATGCTTTTTCTGCCTCTAGTGAGATGATCATGTGATTTTTTTTCATGTTCATATTATGTATTACATTAGTTATTTTTTGAATATTAAAAAAACTGTGCTTGCCTAGGACAAATCCCACTTGGCAACTGTGTAAAATACTTTTAATTAGTTCATAATTCTGTTTGCTAGTCTTTGTATTGATATACGTAAGAGACATTGGTCTATTTTCTTTTCCTGTGATGTCTTCACCTGTGTTGTATCAGTGAAATGCTGGCTCTGTGAAATGAGTTGAGAAGTATCCTGTCCGCTTTTCTCTTTTGGAAGATTTTTTGAAGAATTGGTGTGATTTATTTTTGGCTCTTTGGGAGGATTCAGTGGTGAAGCCATCTCTGGGTAGGTTTTTGAGAACTGATTCAATCTCTTCACTTGTTAAAAGTCTACTTATATTGTCTGTTTCTTATTGCGTCAGTTTTTTAGTGTGTGTCTTTCTAGAAATTTGACAATTTCATCTAAGTTATCTAATTTGTTGGCAAAATTGCTCATTGTATTCACTTATAATCCTTTTTATTTCTGAAAGAAGATCAGTACTAACATCCCCTCTCTCATTTCCAATTCTAATATTTTGAGCCTTCTCTATTTCTCCTGGTTAACTTAGCTAAATGTTTGTTAATGTTGATCTTTTCAAATAGCTATCTTTGGATTTCATTGATTTCCTTTAGTGTTTTTCTATTCTCTATTGTATTAATTTCCACTGTAGTTATTAGTATTTCCTTCATTTCACTTTCTTTACATTTAGTTTACTCTGCCTTTTCTATAGTCTTAAGGTGAGCTATTAGGTTATTGATTTGAGATCTTTCTTCTTTTTTAACATAGATTTTACATCTATAAATTTCCTTTTAAGGACTGCTTGATATGTTGTGTCTTTATTTTCATTAATCTCAAAGTATTTTTATGATTTCTCTTGTGATTTATTCATTGACCCATTTGTTATTGAGGAGTATGTTAATGTACACATATTTTTGAGTTTCCCATTTTTCCCAGTTGCTGATTTGTAATTTCATTCCATTGTGGTGCGAGTATACATTTTATATCATTCTTGCATTAAAATTATTGAGGTTTGTTTTATGGCCTAGTATCTTGTCTATTCTGAAGAATTTTCCATATACACTTGAGAAGAGTGTGTATTTCGTTGTTATTGGAGAAAGTGTTCTAGAGATGTCTGGTCTAGTTGGTTTATAGTATTGTTAAAGTCTTTTGTTTCCTTATTTATCATCTGTGTAATGGTTCTAACCATTATTTATAGTGGGATATTGAAGTCTCCAATGATTATTCTTAAATTGTCTGTTTTTCCCTTCCTTTCTCCCAGTGTTTGCTTCATATATTTTAGTACTTTGTTATTAGGTGCACATATGTTTATAATTGTTATATCTTCTTGATGGAGTGATCCTTTTATAATAATAAAAATATTCTTCCTTATTTTTAGCATTTTAATTTTAAAATCTGTTTTATCTGCTATCAGTACAGCCACACCAGCTTTATTGTGGTTATTTATTTTCCTTTCTCTACTTCCAGTACTCCCTTTATGTGTAAGGTGTCCCATATTTCTTGAGGCTGTCTTCATGTCTTTTCATTCTTTTTCCTCTTTATTCTTTGGCTTGAATAACATATATTTATCTTCAAGTTCAATTATTCTCTCTTCTTCCAGTTCAGATTTACTGTTGAGCCCAAGTAGTGACTTTTTGAAATTTTTTTCAGTTATTGTTCTTTTTCGCTCTAAAATTTTTATTTATTCCTTTTTTCCAATTTATATTTTTAATTTATATCCTCTATTTACTGCAACATTGTTATAATACCTTCCTTATTTAATCATGGTTTTCATCATTTCTATGAACATGTTTATCATGGGTACTGTGTTAGTTCATTTTCACATTGCTGATAAAGACATACCCAAGACTGGGCAATTTGCAAAAGAAAGAGTTGGGTTTTGTTTTTTTTTGTTTTTTTTTTTTTTGGAGACAGAGTTTGCTGTTATGGCCCAGGCTGGAGGGCAATGGCATTATTTCAGCTAACTGTAACCTCTTGCTCCCAGGTTCAAGTGATTCTCCTGCCTCAGCCTCCCAAGTTACTGGGATTATAGGCACGTGCCACCACGGCAAAGTAGCAGTCTGAGGTCCTCTTGGATTGCCTCTTGTGGAGTGGAACCACTGCCTTATAAGCACAGACAATCAGGGACCCATGATTCTCAGCATGTTATGCATAGGGTAGAGTCAGTACTCTATAAATAGGGTCTGGGTGGAAGAAGACAACCCCTGCTTGTCACCTGCATTTACCCAGTACCTAGACTCAACAACAGATAGCTGGAGGCAGTTTAAAAATCCATGATGACCTGTTGCTTCTGGGAAGAGAGCCATTTGGTTGGGAGCTAGAGGGTTAGTTAGGGAGCTCTGTGTTCTGGGCTGCAGCATTCTGAAATAGAGTTGCTGCCTCACTGAGCTAAGAAAAAGAAGGAGAATTCATGGTTCAAATACCATAGATTGTTGCCTTTCTTACTGAATCTTCATAGATTTTCTTGAACAGATGTTTCTGGAGCTTCTTCATAGTACCACTTTCAGGGGCTTTAAGTGGTGTATTTAAAAGAATAATTTTTACCAGTTTCACTGGGGTGAGGGGCAGTGGGAAGGGCAGGCTTGCTGCTCATACTATCATGCTGGAATTCATTCATTGAGAGGATTTTAAAATTCTTTCTTCTCACATAGTACTGCCTAGAAGTAAATGTAGAGGGTGTAAGTTTTTACAACAGAGGGCTAATATTTAACATAAGATCTGCTTTGTCCGAAGTGCGTCTTGCTACCTTCATGGGGGTTAGGAATGCCTTATCAGTGAGTAAGCTATCATATCAGATTGTTCAGGGCTTTGATTCCCCTTCCTTGAGTTCTCAAGCAGTTGTCAACATCTAAGTTTGCAATGCCCAGCCAAATAAAACTCTTTCTCATAGCTTATAGTTACATTTATCCTTTAAATCAGCTAGTCACTTTTATTTTACTTGATTTTTTCCTTCAGGGTACTCCAAGCATATATACTTAACATGATTCAACAATGGCTTTTGAAGATAGGCAATGAAATTAACAACGGTAACATTGAACTTCAGCACCACGTATGTACTTGTAAGGATTTTTGAGGTTATATTTTACCTCAGCTGGCAAATTTCTTCAAGGAAAATCAAGCTGTCTCAATTTAAACGGGGCAGGAGGTTGAGAGGACAAAATGGAAGCTTCTATAATAATTTCTCAGATAATTCTCAATGGATTTTTAAAAGCAGAATGTTCCTGCCTCTGGAATGGAGTTTTGGAATTGAGGAGTCAAGGAGCAAATATGTTAAAGCTGGAAGTATGGATTCAGGCAGTCCCTAGGCTTGGGAGAAATTCCTCTGAAAACCAAAATGATTAAGAATGGTAGCAGAGTGCTTGTCACATGGTAGGACTCAGTAAATATCTGTTGAATGAATTTAGGAAGAATCTTCCAGTACTGTCGGTATTGATGGTGCTGCTTCATTTAATTCTTCTTTGGCAAAATGCTTGATTTATCATTAGGGACTTATCTCCGTGGAATCATATATTCAATCTGTTATTTTCTAGAATTTAATTTTTATAGGATAGGATTAGTTAGAAAGTACCTTTATATACCTCTGTTTTAACACTGCATTTCATAATTAATCTGTGTAGAAAATTTGCAGGATTGTAAACTTCATGAGGAATTATGTATATCCTATATATACATATTAACTCTTATTAATATTTAAAAACAGAAAAGTTGGATATAGGAGACAAGATGGTTGACTAAATTCAGTCAGGAGAAACATCTGCCACTGAGGGACTAGAACATCAGAAAGACTGGTACACTTCAAGCATATCTTTAGAGGGAAGGCATTGAGAGTGGACAGAGGGAAGATACAGATTCTGGGCTAAAGCAGGAGGAAGCTGGAAACCCTGCACAGGGATACCACCCGCTGGGACTCCTTTCTGGCACCCAGTGACTCCTGGGGGAAAAGTGAGTTGAGCAGGTGAGGAGTGACCTTCTGGGGTCATAATCATCTGGAATTCGGACAGCAGGACCCCCACAGTCACTTGAGCTGACAGAGAGAGCTATTTAGAGAGGCGGTAGGGGGCTGGGCATGGTGGCTCACGCCTGTAATCCCAGCACTTTCAGAGGCTGAGGCGGGCAGATCATCTGACATCAGAAGTTCAAGACCAGTCTGACCAACATGGTGAAACCCTCTCTCTACTTAAAATACAAAATTAGCCAGGCATGGTGGCGCATGCCTGTATTCCCACCTACTTGGGAGGTTGAGGCAGGAGAATTGCTTGAACCCAGGAGGCAGAGGTTGCAGTGAGTTGAGATTGCGCCATTGCACTCCAGCCTGGGCAACAATCGCAAAACTCTGTCTCAAAAAAAAAAAAAAAGAGAGGTGGTAGGTGTGGTACTCCAGCCAGCATGGAGCCTGGAGGGTTTGGTGCAGGAGCGTCTATAGTGGAGCATAGTCAGGGACACCTATCCCCCAAGGCCTGTCTTACTCCTACAGGAGACGTTAACCTTAGGGGAACCATCAGACCTGAACAGTGCAGGGTGGTCTTGCCATGAGACAGGGCCAGTTTCACCTGAGCACCTCCCTGTCTTGAGGCCTCTCCCAGGGGTCCAGCCTGACCATACTTGTTTGCAGTGCAGCCTTGAATGCCCAGCTGAGGTGCCTCCCAGGGGCCTGCATCATAGCTCTTGTACTGGCAGACCATGCCTGACCATTGGAGAGCTCCAGTGGAGCAGCCCCCAGTAATAAGCACCAGCCCGCCCATGTATTCTATCCATCGTAGCCTCCCCCGTGCCATTTGCCAGTGTCTACTCACCCATGACCACCCCCAGATTGCTTTGCTAGTATGTGTGCATATATTCAGACCTTGCTCCTACTTCCCCACCAGCTCACATGTGCACATGCACCCTACCGTGCCATCACAGCCAGTGTGAGTGCATCACACTCCCCACCTCACAGCCAATGCAAAGGTATGCAAGCCCTGCACTGCCATTACCAATGGAGTGTTCATGGGTACAGAGACTGCTAACCTTGTGCCTGCCAATGCCCTGCCACTGTGCCAACACTGTTGCTGGCCTGAAACTACACATGGATGCCAGTGGACCTGCCTCCCACCTTGTGTGGCCACTGCTGCCTGTGTGAATATGTGCACAGAGGTTACCAGTCCTGCACTTGCCAGCACTCTGCCCCCATGCTGCTGCCACAATGCTGATGCTACCACCAGCGCGAACATGCAAAGGAACATTGGCAGGCTACTCCCTGCAACATGCTGCCACTGCCACTACTACAAATGTCCACACCCCTGCCCTCATTAGTGCCCCACCACAGCTCATGAGCATGTACGCTGCTGCACTGCTGCTGCTCCTGGCATGTGCAAACAACCACGAATCCTGCTGTCACCACCCAATGAATTGCTTTGGCTGGCATCACCTATTGGAGTGTTAAGACCAGTGATCAGGAAACACCTTTGCTCTTCTAATACCGCAGATTCCTAACCTTGAGGGGCCAGATAACAAATCTGGGGACCTGATACCAGACTCCAGAGTTAGTGTATGCAGTCCAGGAGACCTAAGCTGAGCATTGGCCCCCTAAAATCTTCCAGAAATGAAGCAAGTTGACTGAACCCACCTTGTATCATAATCAAACCTCCAAGGATGTCAAAGAGGAGAAAAGAAAAAAGAAAATGCACTCAAAGGACAGCAACTTCAAAGACTGAAGGAACATCGGCTCACAAAGATTAGAAAGAGCCAGCACAAGAACTCTAGCAACTCAAGAAGCCAGAGTGTCTTCTTACCTCCAAACAGCCACACTGTTCACCAGCAGTGTGTCTTAACCAGACGGAAATGACAGAAACAGAATTCAGGATATGTATAAGAACAAAGATCATCAACATACAGGAGAAAGTTAAAACCCAATCCAAGGAAGCTAAGGATTCCAATAAAATGATACAGGAGTTGATAGATGAAATGGCCGTTTAAGAAAGAACCAAGCTAATCTGATGTAAATGAAAACATGCTACAAGAATTTCATAGTGCAATTACAAGTATTAGCAGAATCAACAAAGCTGGGGGAAAAAATATCAGAGTTTGAAGACTGGCTGTCTGAAGTAAAGAAAAAACAATAAAGATGAAGGAACAAAACATCTGAGATCAAATCTAACCAACAGAATAGGAAAAAATTTTTGCAGTCTACCCATCTGACCAAGGGCTGATATCCAGAATTTACAAAGAGCTAAAACAGATTTACAAGAAAAAAACAAACAAGCACATTCAAAAGTAGGCAAAGGATATGAATAGACACTTTACAAAAGAAGACATACATGAGGCCAACAAACATATGAAAAAATGCTCATCATCACTGGTCATCAGAGAAATGCAAATCAAAACTACACTGAGATAACCATCTCACGCCAGTTAGAATGGCGATCATTAAAAAACCTGGAGACAGCAGATGCTGGAGAGGATGTGGAGAAATAGGAACACTTTTATACTGTTGGTGGGAGTGTAAATTAGTTCAACCATTGTGGAAGACAGTGTGGCGATTCCTTAAGGACCTAGAAATAGAAATTCCATTTGACCCAGCAATCCCATTACTGGGTATATATTCAAAGGAATATAAATTGTTCTATAAGGACACATGCACACAAATGTTCATTGCAGCACAGTTTACAATAGCAAAGAAATGGAACCAACCCAAATGCCCATCAATGATAGATTGGACAGGGAAAATGTGGCACATATACACCATGGAATATTATGCGGCCATCAAAAACGATGAGTTTGTGTCCTTTGTAGGGACACGGATGAACCTGGAAACCACCATTCTCAGCAAACTGACACAAGAACAGAAAATCAAACACTGCATGTTCTCATAGGTGGGTGTTGAACAATGAGAACACATGGACACAGGGAGGGGAGCACTACACACTGGGGTCTGTTGGGGGGAAATAGGGGAGGGACAGCAGGGGGTGGGGAGTTGGGGAGAGATAGCATGGGGAGAAATGCCAGATATAGGTGATGGGGAGGAAGGCAGCAAATCACACTGCCACGTGTGTACCTATGCAACAATCTTGCATGTTCTTCACATGTACCCCAAAACCTAAAATGCAATAAAAAAAAGAAAATCAAATCTACAACTCATTGGCATCCCTGAAAGAGAGAAACTAAGCAATTTGGAAAACATATTTCAGGATATTGTCGATGAAAATTTTTTCTACCTCACTAAAGGGGCCAACATTCAAATTCAGGAAATGCAGAGCCCCTGAAAAATACTACACAAGAAGACTATCCACAAGACATATAGTCATCGGATTCTCCAAGGTTGTCATGAAAGAAAAAATGTTAAAGGCAGGTAGAGAGAAGGGACAGGTCACCTACAAAGTGAACTCCATAAGGTTAACAGCAGACATGTCAACAGAAACCCTACAAGCCAGAAGAAATTGTGGGCTTGTATTCAGCATTCTTAGAAAAGAAATTCCAAACAAGAATTTCACCTCTAGCCAAACTGAGCTTCATAAGCAAAGGAGAAATAAGATCCTTTTCAGACAAGCAAAAGCTAAGGGAATTTGTTGCCACCAGATGTATGTATCTCATAAGAGGTCCTGAAGAGAGTGCTAAATATGGAAAAGAAAGACCACTATCAGCCACAACAAATATACACTTAGGTATTTAGACTACTATAAAGCAACCATACAAACCAATCTGCATAGTAGCCGGCTAACAACATGATGACAGGCTCAAATCCACACATATCAATACTAACTTTGAATGTAAATGGGCTAAATGCCCCAGTATAAGGCACAGAGTGGCAAGTTGGATAAAGAACCAAAACCTAACAGTTTTCTATCTTCAAGAGACCCATCTCACATGTGGTGACACCCAAAGTCTCCAAGTAAAAGGATGGAGAAAATTCAACCAAGTGAATGGAAAACTGAAAAAAGAAAGAGTTGTTATTCTAATTTCAGACAAAATAAACTGTAATCCAACAAAGATTAAAAAAAGACAAGGACATTACATAATGGTAAAGGGCTCAGTTCAACAAGAAGACCTAACTATCCTAAATATATACACACCCAACATAGGAACCCTCCAATTTCTTAAAGTAAGTTCCTAGAGACCTGCAGAGAGACTTACGTAACCACATAATAACAGAGGGTGACTTTTAACACCCCACTGACAATGTTGGACAGATCATCAAGGCAGAAAACTAGCAAAGATATTCAGGACCTGAACTCAACACTTGACCAAATTGACCTAATAGACATCTGTAGAACTTCCCACCCCAAAACAACAGAATATACATTTTTCTCATCTGTATGTACATGGCACATACTCTAAAATCAACTGCAAAATTTAGCATAAAACGACCCTCAGCAATTTAAAAAAAACCAAAATCATACCAGCCACACTTGGACCACAGTGCAATAAAAATGGAAATCAGTGCTAAGAAAATTGCTCAAAACCATACTATTACATGGAAATTAAGCAACTTGCTTCTGAATGACTTTGGGGTAAATAATGAAATTAAGGCAGAAATCAAGAAGTTATTTGAAACTAATGAGAAAAGAGATACTACATACCAGAATCACTGGGCCACAGCCAAAGCAGTGATAAGAAGGAAGTTTATAGCACTAAATGCCCACATCAAAAAGTTTGAAAGACCTCAAATTAACGACCTAACATAACAAATAGAGGAACTATAGGAACAAAAGCAAACCAACCCCAAAGCTAGCAGAAGACAAGAAATAACCAAAATCAGAGCGGAACTGAAGGAAATTGAGTTGTGAGAAACCATACAAGAGATCAATCTAAGAGCTAGTTTTTTGAAAGAATAAGACAGTCACTACTTAGACTATAAAGAAAAAAGAGAGAAGATCCAAATAAGCATGATCAGAAATGACAAAGTGGACATTACCACTGACTTCACAGAAATACAAAAAATTCTTAGAGACTATTATGAATACCTCTAGAACACCTAGAAGAAATGGATAAATTCCCAGACATCTACAACATCCAATATTGAACCAGGAAGAGATTGAATCCCTGACCATACCAGTAATGAGCTCCAAAATTAAATCAGTGATAAAAAGTCTGCCAACCAGAAAAGGACAAGGACCAGATGGATTCACAGCCAAATTCTACCAGCCCTAAATTAATCAACATTGCTTTAGGTCATTAACAACCTTTCCATTGCAATCAGGAAGCAGGAAGCTTGGGTTTTAGTATTGGATAGGGTACAACATTTTATTTTTATCCATTCATTCAAGAAACATTTATTAAGCACTTACTCCCTGCTAAGTACTGTGTGTGATATGCAGGGATAAGTTGATGGCTCATGTCTTAAAGATAGTTTAATTGGGGAGATAGATGTGCAAATGATTATAATACAGATAAGTAAAAAGTACTGTAGAAACAGGGGAAAGGGAGCAAATTAGAGCCAGTGGAAACTGGAAAGTCTTCTCAGAGTAGATCATGTTTAAGCCTGGAGAAATACTCCAGAACTAACCAAACAGACACAGGGAGTAAGGGTATTTGACAAGTATGGTGTGTCTGAATTTTGCATATAGGTTTTCTGCATTTTATTTCTGGGACCCAGCCTCAGCAAACACTATAATGCAGAGGTTCTCAAACTTTCTGTATTCACAGTGCCCTTTGCATTCCAATATTTTCATACTCCTAAACCAAAAGAAATACGGTTAAGTTTATTAGTAGGTAGATTCAAACTGCTTACTAAATATTTCATGTCCTAACAATTTAGTAACTATTTGGAAAAGTACTGCACATACATTGAAAGAAAAAAAATATTCTCATTTAATCAGTGTTACTTACCAATGTAAGGCGTGTACTCATTAGCATTGTACAGCTTCTCTGACCTTGGAATCAGATTAGACATTACCATCTTCATTTCCTGTTCCATGTTAATTTTCACACAGTACTTGTTTTTTATCACAACCCTGATCGAACCAGTATCAAAAAAGAATGATGCCACCAAAATTAATACAGTGCGTCTACAGAAAACTGTGAACTATGTTCAGTTTATGCTGTGTCTGGCAGATGTTACATATCAGTTCTTTCCCTCAATTTTAAATCCTGTGGCACCCTTGTGAGTTTTGCTGTGGAGCCCTGGGATGCCTTGATGTACAATTTGAGACCTGTAGCTTTAACAAGTTATTATCCATGGCCAGGGTAAGGAAGAGATTAGTGGCTGGGCGTGTGGTTCACGACTGTAATCTTAGCCCTTTGGGAAGCTAAGGTGGGCAGATTTCTTCCCAGCAGTTCAAGATTGACCTGGGCAACATGGTAAAATCTCATCTTCACAAAAAATACAAAAATTAGCCAGGCATGGTGTCATGTGCCTGTAGTCCCAGCTACTCAGGAGGTTAAGGTGGGAGGATCACCTGAGCCTGGGGAGGTCAAGGTTGCAGTGAACTGTGATTATGTCTCTGCACTCTAGCCTGGGCAACCAAGTGAGACCCTGTCTCAAAAAAAATTTACATAAGTATTAATAAAAAGAAGAGAGTAGTTTAATGTTGTATAGTGATCAAAAGAAAATAGGGTCGCGCCAGCTGATGATGTGATTTCATTAAGAATTCTAATGTTGAAAGTTGGACACAGGCACGATCATTTCTATTTTAAAATTTAGTGTGGTTTTTACTATTTGATTTATTTAAAGTGAGTTATTTGTATTATACTCATTTTTTAACAGATGGATGAGTTGCATATATCTATGATCCAGTGGATGGTAAACTTGCTGATTTTAATGATACCTGACTTTACTGACCAAGACTGTCTCCTAAAGTTGGAGGAGGAAAGTGCTGAGAAACATGATATAGGAGTTGCACGATTAGAGCTCGATGCGATTGAACTGACGAGGAAGCTGTACCAATACTCCAGCTATTTGAGCAGGTGAAGCTATCTGGTTATTTTATTGTTGCCCTTCTGAATAATTGAATGTCACATAAAACAGACAAGAGAAAGTGAAGTAGTAGCAATAGGAGTTATTTTAAAACCTTGAAAGAAGTACGAGTTCAGTTTTTCAACCCGCTTTTACACTGTGACTGTTATAATATGAGATTTCGGTTTTTCTTTTAAAAACAGTGTTAGCATAGGCAGGATGAGAAGTGTGTATATGTGGGAAAAAGAATTAGGAAAAAAGGACTCACTTACTTGCATAAATAAGACACATCTTACACTTTTGCACATTCTGGTGAGGGGGTGGATTTAAGAAGAAGATTGTCGTTTCCTGTGTACTGTCTTTTTTTTTTTTTTTTTTTTTTTTTTTTGGCAGAGTTTTCCTCTCTTACCCAGGCTGGAATGCAGTGGTGTGATCTCGGCTTACTGCAACCTCTGCCTCCCAGGCTCAAGAGATTCTCGTGCCTCAGCCTTCTGAGTAGCTGGGATTTACCAGCGTGCACCACCATGCCTAGGTAATTTTTGTATTTTTAGTAGGAGTTTCACCATTTTGAGATGGAGTTTCGCCATGTCTCGAACTCCTGATCTCAAGTGATCTGCCTACCTGGGCCTCCCAAAGTGCTGGGATTACAGGTGTGAGCCACCACACTCTGTCCTGAATGTATACTTTTATGTGCTTCTCTAAATACCAACCAAAACATATTTTTACAAAATAGAAAAAGAACCCCATAAACCCTTCTATCTGAAAAGCCAGAAGATTTTCATTGAATAAAGATGAAGCCTGGAAAATTGTAATCTATTAACTAAGATGCAAGCTTGATGCTATGATTACTTTCAATTCAGGAGACAGCTTTTACAACCTAAGCAAATTTTCCCTTCATTTCAATTCAATATTACGAATGGTCAAGAATGAAAGGGATGGAAGGGGAGGACAAGGGTAAGAAATTGAGAAGGAGACAAATTATTCTCCTTGGTGAGTCGGTAGCTGAATTATTATGGTGAACTTCCACGGTGTCTGGATATTTTAAATTTTAAACACTTAGAAGAAGAAACAACAATAAATAGGTTATGCTGAGTGTGTATGTGCTCTTTTTTTCCTCTCTCTTTTTGCAGTTGTTGCAAAGGGATGGTGTCAGCAATGGCTCTGCGTAGATCCACTAACTCACACAAAAATTCTACTGAAGACATTTATGAGGTGAATAAGTTGAAGGTAATAACTGTCTTCCCCTTAGTTTTGTTTTGTTTGTTTTTATCAGATTTTTGAGGTTCAATTGATCTACAAGAAACTCACATATTTAAAGAGTACAATCTTGTAAGTTGTAAAATATGCATACATTCATAAAAATGATTAATAAAAAATAAAAATAGGAAACATGTCAAACACATTCAGAATTTCCTTGCACTCCTTGTTAATTTATACTTCCATCCTCATCTGGTCACCAGGCAATATTTGATCTACTTTCTAACACCAAAGATTATTTTTTATTTTCTAGAATTATAAAAATGGAATTAGAAAGAATGTACTTTTGTCTGACTTCTTTCACTAAACATGATTACTTAGAGATTCATGCATATTGTTGCTTTTATCAACCGCTTATGATTTTTAGTGCTGAGTAGTATTTCATTGTATGGATAGACACAATTTTATTACCTAGTCTCTGTTGATATGCATTTGAATTGTTTCCAGTTTTAAATTATTACTAGATAACTTCAGTGCATATTCATTTATATGAATAGACATATACTTTCATTTCTCTTGGATTGATATCTGGGAATGGAATGGCTGAGTCACATGGAATGTGTGTGTTTAACTTCTAAACAAATGGTTTAACTGTCTTCCAAAGTGGCTAATGGGTACAAAAGTACAGTTAGGTAGAAGGAATAAGTTCTAGTATTCAATAGTACATTAGGGAAATTATACTTAACAGTAATTCATTGTATATTTCAAAATAGCTAGAAGAGAAGAATTGGCTATCTCCAACACAAAGAAAAGATAAATGTTTGTGGTGATGGATACCCCATTCCCCTCTTTGATCTTTACACCTTGTACACATGCATCAAGATATCACATGTACTCCAGAATATATACAAATATGATATATCAATTTCTTAAAAGGTGGTTAAACCATTTTTACGCTCTTGCTAGCAGTGTCTGAGAGTTCCAGTTGCTTTACGTTCTTACTGACACTCGATAAAGTCAGTCAGTTTTTTTTTTTTGAGATGGAGTTTTGCTCTGTTGCCCAGGCTAGAGTGCAGTGGTGTGCTCTTAGCTCACTGCAACCTCTGCCTCCTAGGTTCAAGTGACTGTCCTGCCTTAGCCTCCTGAATAGCTAGGGCTACGAGCACACACCACCACCCCCAGCTAATTTTTGTAAATTTAGTAGAGATGGGTTTTACCATGTTGGCCAGGCTGGTCTTGAACTCCTGCCTCAAGTGATCCACCCACCTCTTCCTCCCCAAGTGCTGGGATTACAGGCATGAGCCACTTTGTCCAGCCAATATGGTCACTCTTTTAAAATTATACATTCTAATAAGTGAGGATTGGGATGTCATTGTGGTTTTAATTTGCGTTTTCTTAATGACCAATGATGTCAAACTTCTTTTCATGTGCATATTTGTAATCCATATGTAATCCATGTATAATGTCTGTTCAAATCTTTGACCCATTTATTATTGATTTGTTTCCTTATTATTGAGTTTAGTCAGCTGTTTATTCTGGATACCAAGTCTTTTATCAGATACATGATTTTAAAATATCATCTCTTGGTCTGTGATATGTCTTTTCTTCTCCTAATAGTGTCTTTTTTTGAGACAGTGTTTTGCTATGTTGCCCAGGCTGGACTTGAACCCCTGGGCTCAAGTGATCTTCCCACCTCAGCCTCCAGAGTAGCTAGGATTACAGGCATGAACCATCATGCCCAATTATAGTGTCTTTCAAAGAGGGAAATTCTTAATTTTGATTAAGTTCAATCTCTGATTTTTTTTTTTTATGGACCTTGCTTTTGGTATTCTAAATATTTAAGGAAATTTTTGTGTAACATCATTATAAAGATTTTCTTCTATGTTTTCTTCTAGAAGTTTTAGAGTCTTAGGCATTACATTCAAGTCTATGACCCATTTTGAGTTAATCCTTTTAAAATATGGACCTGGGTATGGATTGAAGTTCATTTTTTGGCATTTGGATATCCAATTGTTTTAGTACCATTTGCTGAAAAGGCTGTCCTTTGTCTATTGAGATGCCTTTGTATCTTGATTGAAAACCTATTGACCATATATGTCTGGGTATTATTCCGTTATGTTCTGTTGATCTATTTGTCAACATTGTCACCGTCTCTAACCTTCCTTCTTTACTATTGTTTTGCAATAGGTTTTAAAATCAGGTGATATAAATCCTCCAAATTTGTTTTTCCCCCCCAGTCTTAAGCTATTCTACATCATTTGCTTTCCATATGAATTTTATAATTGGCCTATCAATTTCTCCAAGAAAGCCTGCTGGGATTTTAATTGATATTATATTTTATCTATTGATTAGTTTGTGGAGAATTAACATCTTAACAATATGGAGCCTTTGATCTGTGAACATGGTATATCTCTTCATATATTTGTCTTTTTTCTTTTTTTTTTTTTTTTTTTGAGACGGAGTTTTGCTCTTGTTGCCCAGGCTGAAGTACAATGGCACAATCTCAGCTCACTGCAACCTCCGCCTCACAGGTTCAAGCAATTCTCCTGCCTCAGCCTTCTGAGTAGCTTCGATTACAGGCATGTGCCACCATGCCTGGCTAATTTTGTATTTTAGTAGAGACAGGGTTTCTCCATGTTGGTCAGGCTGGTCTCGAACTCCCAACCTCATGTGATCTGCCCACCTCGGCCTCCCACAGTGCTGGAATTACAGGCGTGAGCCACTGCCTCTGGCCTATTTCTTTAAGCGAAGTTTTATAGTTTTCAGTGTATAGATCTAACGTATCATTTGTCAGATTTATCTGTAAGTAGTTCATGTTTTGGTGCTACTATGAATGGTATTATTTTATAATTATCATTTCTGATTATTCATTGCTAATACATAGGATTATAGTAAGTTTTTAATACATTGATCTCATATCCTCTGAACCTGCTGAATTCACTTACTCCTTTTAAGAGGTTTTTTGTTTTGTTTTGCTTTTTTAGATTCTTTGGGATTTTTAATATACAGTCATGCATTCATGTTATCTGCAGATAGGGATAGTTTTATTTCTTCCTTTGCAATCTATGTATTTTTTCTTTGCTTTGCTTTATCGTCCTAACAAGACTCCATAATACTAGGTGGTAAAAGTAATGAGAGCAGATATCCTCACCTTGGTCCATCTTAGGGAAAAAGTATTAATTCAGTCATCTTTAAGTATAATGCTAGCTATCGGTTTTTTATAGCTATCCTTTATCAGATTGAGGAAATTCTTCTTTATTTTATATTTGCTGAAAATTCTTTTTTTTTAAGTCAGTAATGGATGTTGGATTTCATCAAATCTTTTGCTGCATCTATTGAGATGCTCATATGAGTTGTCTTTTTTAGTGTGTTAATATGGTGAATTACATTTATTGATTTTTAAATTGAATGTTAAACCTCTTCCTCCCCCCGGCCCCTCATTCCTGGGATAAACTCCACTTGATCATGATGTATTGTCCTTCTTATATGTTGCAAATTCAATTGATTGATTGTTTAGAATGTTTGCAATGATATTCATAAGGGATATTGATTATATAGTTTTGTTTTATAGTATCTTTGTTTGGTTTTGATATCAGGGTAATGCTGGCCTTTTAAAATGAGCTAAGAAATGTTTCTTACTCTGCTGTTTTTAGAAATAATATGTGTAGAATTGTTTATTATTTCTTCCATAAATGTGTTGTAGAATTCACCAGTGAAGCATCTGGGCATTGTGGGAAAGTTTTTAACTAACAAATATAGAGCTATATAATTTCTTTAACAAGTTTAAAGAAATTTATCATTTATGGAGTTATTATTTCCTTTTCATGAGTGAGCTTTGGACTTGTAATGAATTTGTAATTTCATCTAAGTTGTCTAATTTATTGACATGCAGTTGCTCACAATATTCCCTTATTATCCTTTTAATAATTGTAGGATGTCTCTTCTCTCATTCCGTTATGGGAATTTTAAATCTTCTGTCTTTTTGTCTTCCTGAGTCTATACAAAGATTGACCAATTTTCTTGATCTCAAAGAACGAGATTTTCCTTTCATTGATTTTTCTCTACTATTTTTCTGTTTTCTATGTCCTTAATTTCCAGTCTAGTCTTTATTGTTTATATTTTCTTACTTACTCTGGGTTTAATTTGCTCTTCATTTTCTAGTTTCTTAAAGTGTAGCTGAGATTATTGATTTGAGACCTTTTTACCTCCTCCTCTCCCTGCCCCCCCCGTAGGCATTTAGTACTACAAACTTTCTGCTTTAACTACATCTCACAGATTTTGATATGTTGTGTTTTTATTTTAATTCAATTCAAAATACATTTTAATATCCATTTGCATTATTCTTTCATCCATGGGTTATTTAGAAGTATATTTGGTTCCCAAATATTTGAGTATTTTCCAGAGCTCTTCTGCTACTGATTTGTAATATGATTTCCTTGTGGTCAGAGAACATACTTTGTACCATTTAGATCCTTTCCAATGTATTGAGACTTGTTTGAGAATGCAGAACCTGAGCTGTCTTGGTAACTGTTCCATGTACAATTGAGAAGAATATTTATTCTATTATTGATGCGAGTATTCTATAAGCGTCAATTAGGTCAAATTGGTTGATGGTCTTATTTAAGTGTCCTGTATCCTTGTTGATTTTTTGTCTACTTGATCCATCAATTATTCAGAGAGGAATATTGAAACCTTGACTATAATTATGGTTTGTCTATTTTTCTTGGAGTTCTATCAGTTTTTGCTTCATATATTTTGAAGCTATGTTGTTAGGTGCAAATATAGTTTTATAGTTTTCAGCATACAGGTCTTACATATTATTTGTCAGATTTATCCCTAAGTGTTTCATATATTTTGTATTTTGAAGCTATGTTATTAGGTACAAATACATTTAAAGTGAACTGACTCTTTATCGTTATGAAATGCTTCTCTTAACACTGGATCTCAATAGACACAGAAAAAGCTTTCGATAAAATCCAATATCCTTTCATGATAAAAATCCTCAACAGACTAGACATTAAAGGAATATA